AAGTTGCTGTCCTTTTGTTCTTCAGTCTAGTTGTGGAGGACGTCGCTTCACTGGCCCATGTTGGCACTATCTTTGCGCTCTTCCCAGGTGATGCAGTCTCTTGCTGTCCAGGACAGCTGCTCACAGCAGCTCACAGCAGCTCACCGCAGCCCTCGAAAGCCCACGCCCGCCTCCAGCCAGCCTTACTGCAGCCTATGCTGTCGCCGGAGCCTCGAGGCAGCCCAGCTCCAGGTCGAGCTGTTGTTCACCACCTTAGCTGTAGAGGGCGCAGCCGTCACTGGCCCTCATATGTGGGATCCGAACCAGGGCCCTGCTGCTAAGAGCTGGCATCTCAAGCCACCTCCTAACCAATGCGCCACTCGGCTGGCCCCAAATAGAACTTTTAAAATACTTTCTAAACTGAGATTTAAGAATATTATGCCAGAAGCTGCACATAAACAGTAGAGAATTGAGGTGACAATTGAGATAGAGTTGTCCTTGCAATGATCTTATCTCTTGTGACCAGGTCCCTTATGCCATATCTGTTGGACAGCAGGTATCCAGGGCTGTGTGCTTACAGGCTGGAACTCCACCCCGCCCTTTATCCCAGAGGAGCATGATTTGTTCTATGGCATATCCAAGCCCAACAATCCAGGTTATAAAGGGTCAATTGAATTTACATATTTTAGGAGGAAGTTATTTCCTAAGGATTTCTTAAATTCTCCCGTTGCTTTTGTGCAGGTTGGAACAACAGGTTTAAGAGGCAGGGATGGGATTCTCCTTCCTCCTGTCTGTATGTTAGTCTTCATTCCAGTACTGAGAGGCTGTCTCGGACCAGGTTTCCTAGAAGCAGAGCCTCAGACAGGGATGTGTGAGTGCACATGATATATAGAGGGGATGCTCTGAGGAGAAAGGGTGAGGGAGGTGGTCCCAGCTGGAGTCAGGCTTCCGCCTCCTCCCATGGAGAGGTTCTGAGCACAAACTGCGCAGTGGAGTTGTTCCCAGCCTGAGGCAATGGGACCGGCCTTTGAACTGTGTATTCCTCAACCATCGGCTACAGGCCAGCCCAGGTAGGGACATGAACCCTAAGAGGTTTCCATCAGACCAAGGGCACCAACAGGATCCATGACCAGTGTCTAAATGATCCACAGATCAACAGAGGGATATGTTCATTGATCAACAGGACTGGTAACTTTCCAACTTAACCAGTTGCTTCTTTAAGCCTCCTGCTACCCTTAGACTGCCTTCTACGTAGCTGTTTCTTTTGTGTTCAAAGGACTGCTCAGTTATGTGAAAGCTGAAGATGAATGCAACAGGGGTGCCTGTCATCCCCCCACTGGCAATCTCCTGGTGGGCCGCAGCACACAGCTCACGGCTTCTTCTACTTGCGGGCTGAATGGACCCCAGAAATACTGCATTCTCGGCTACCTCGAGGTGGGTTGGTTCTTTATTTCCTTGCTGGGACATTATTTTATCAATGATGAAGGTTTTTTTTCAAGTACATATGAGGCTGTCCAGACAACAGTAAAGGGGATAACACTCCTTCCTGAATACCCAAGACACAAGTGATACTGTTGCGGGGAACCCAGACAGAGAGACAGGACACCAAGGCGTGGGAAGCAACTTTTATTAACACCAGCACTGGCTCAGCGGATTCACATCCAGAGGCTGAGCCTCGACCTGGGTGGGACTCAGGGCTATATACCCTGAAGTTTCCAGGTTGGCAGCTAAGATTTATTATTAGAACATGTGGCCATTGTGCCAGTTCCTGACTGGCTCCTGGGTGAGGTAGGAATTTGGAAATATTAAATGCGGAAGTCTTGCTGACTATACAGTCCAGGAATGCCTTTGTCTGAAGCCCGCGCGAAATCCTTGGTGGACCACATGGTCTGGGAAGGCCTTTGTCTAAGGCCCACTGTCACAATACTACTTAAAGTCCAGAAAACCTTGACAGATCAGAAAATAGGAAAGATCTGCCTCATCTGTTTCTTGGTACCATTAGTATTAGACAGAAATTGGTTCAGGCTTTGAAGGGAATTATTATAAAATGTGCTATTCTGCTTAGGGCTGCCTTAGTGACTCCCACAGAGTGAGCATAATTGACTCCTTCAGTGAAGACTAAAGACCCCCTCAGGGCCTCAGGCCTCTGCTGGCATGAGTGCTCACTGTCCTGCCTTGGAGCTGGAAGGGTGTGGACTTGGAATTCTTTGTGCGCCAGACTCACTATGCCACTAGGAAACTGTCTTGCTTAAAAACCATAAAATCCCAATGTGAACATTATTTGAGGGCCTTTTTTCCCTTAAAGACCAGTGCCATAAAAGGACTTGTTGCATGACAGTTTTGTTTCTTCCTTGTGCTCTGGGAGCAGAACAAGGTCATCTGCACATCGTACCTGTTGCAAAGCCTGAGCAATCACTTCGATCCTTCAATGAGAGTACGTGCAGGAAGGAAGTTGGACCCAAGCCTAATGTTGGTGGCCAGGCTCTTCCACGTATTGTTCATTTGAGACAACTCCTGGAGGTCTCTGGGAAATGCTTTGTATTTTAATTGGTTTTTAGCAAACAAGGATGATTATAAATAAATGGAGACAATACCTGAGTGCTCAGCTCTGTTCTAAGTTTGGGAAGTACTTGTATAAGAAAGAATATTCTCTGCATGTGCAAGGAAATGACACTGTGGAAGTTTTGCTCAACCCCAGGTCAGGTGGGATGTTTGGCCCTTGAAGTGAGTTTAAGAAGTCTGGGTCCCGTGGGCAAAGAAATGGGAATCAACTCTAATATTAGAAAATATCCAACATGGTCATCACCCATCTTGTTCTCCAACCACTAGCATTTACTTACTGTTGTCATAGCCAACTCATGACATACTCGGACTATAATTAGAAACTGATGTCCCTATATCTTAATTTCACACCACCAAAAATAGAAGTACTTCAGAGGCTTCTTTTGTCTAGAGAATCACAGAAATCCTAAAAATCATAGACCTAGGAAAAAAAATCTCAAACTATCTTCAGCTGATAAAGTATTATAGGTGGGGCTACAAGCACCGGTGTGCATAAACATCATGCAGCATGGAGGGTGATTTTTTTCCCCCCATCCATTATCTAACAAATGGCTACTAAGCATAGCACTCTCTTCAAAAGCTTCAAGTCAACACTGACCCACAGTGTCACCCAAGTTGGAACTCCCACTTTGTCACTACAACTAAGCTTCCTCTGCAGCCAGTCCCAGCAATGACCATGCTTCTGAAATGTTTACAGAGAGAGTAGCCCACGTACCCTGAAGGTAAACATCTTCCCCATAATTTCAACAGTGTTATTGGCAATACTTTGAAGCCTTGACACATTTGGGTGGAATCATAGGGCTTCTGCTGCTCTGTTAGGACAGGTCTGGGTCAAGCAGAATTGATCTAGCTGCCACTGTTCCTTAATTTCCAAAGGGCATTTTGGTTTTCTTCAGGTGTAAGACTTATGGTGGCCAGTGCTTCTACAAAGATTATATGAATCTCTTGAAAGACTGATTTACTCTGAGAGACTCTAGGTGAAATAGTCATCAATACCATATGTATTCATGCTACAAATTTTATTGAGCATCTACTATGTGCCAGACACTATTCTAGATAAGGAAAATACAGCTGTCAACAAAACAAAGTCCTTGCCCTCATTCATCTTAAAGTCTAATGATGGTGACAGACAATAATCCAATAACTATATAATGTGTGTATAGCCTCCAGGAGTGATAAGGGCTTAGAAAATATTATCAAGCAGGGTAAGGGCTGGAGAGTGGCAGGAGCCGTAAGAATGGGAGGTGGTGGTTTTTTACATAGAAGTCAAGGAACGCCTCTCTGAGATGATGGCATTTAAACAAAGACCTGAAACAAGGGAAGGAACAAGAGACAAGAATATTTGGTGGGGGGGGGCTGGAGGGAGCTGAGAACAACTTGTGTCAAGACTCTAAGGCAAAAGAATTCTTCGTGAGCTCAAGAAAGAACAAGAAGTGAGTGTAGATAGAGCTGAGTAATCAAGGGGAGACAGGCAAGGAGGTGGCCCTGGTGAGGTCATGTAGGCCCTGTAAGCCATGGTCAGGACATAGACAATGTTCACTGAACACCTACAGGTGCATTGGCTGTTGCAGGCAATTTCCAGCACAGAGGATTGTAATAAACAGCTCCTGCTTCCTGAAAGCTTTGCCAAAACACTCCTCCAGTGTCCCACATATTAGCCAAGAACAACGGTGCAGGCCACTGGCAGTCTTTTGGAAATCTTTGGAGATTTCTTTAGGAGTTTTAACTAAGTACAGCTACAAGCAGACTCATTAAATCAAGCAAACGCAAAGGCCAATATTGGCTGTTGTAGCCTTTGAAAATCCATCCCAAGCAAAACTACTTCCAATTCACTAATAAGAACCTTCTAGTCTGTGAGACAAGAGGGTGGGGTTCTCTGTTATTAGTTTATGAAAATCTGTTACAAAATCCACATGTGTGATGTAAAGGTTTTGGTATTGGAAGCTTTTCTGCTAAAAACTATGTCTGAGAAAGAAAGGATGATAGTTGTAGATAACCTAAGTGGCCCATTGTTTTATTAGTATCTTGCCAAATATTCTTTTTTTTACTAAAGGAAGTAATCCCACTCAAAGAGTATATCCTAATTATTTCTCTATAGTTTGAAATAACCTCCAGGTCATCTGCTTTTTGTATGAAAAAAATATTCCACATATATTTGAATTTTTTGCTGCAAATATATAAATTTATAAAATTTCTAGGTCATATTTTAATTTCATTTGTGATTATATCAAAGCACCTATTGATGGAAAAATTGATGTCTTGTTATTTCCTCTGCTTTTTATTTCAGCCAGATTGAAAGACAAATATAGTAAGTACAGCTTGTTTTTAAATTCGAATCAACAATAAGTAATCACAATTCTTTATTTTTAATGATGGTGTTTTCCAGGGGGAACAAAAATGCTTCATCTGTGACTCCAGATTTCCGTACGATCCTCACACCCAACCCAACAGCCACACCATTGAGAATGTGATTACAAGTTTTGAACGAGATAGAGAAAAGAAATGGTGGCAATCTGAAAATGGTATGATTAAGTTCCTTTCCAATTTTTTATTTCTTCATATTTTTAATAAGGCGCCTTTCTGTGTGACTTTAACAATGTCACAGCAAGGAGTAGTATTGGAATGGAGCAATATCCACCAGGAATGCAGAGCCCTGTATAATAACACATTTTCTCTTCACTTTAAGAAAGATTCTTTTCCTCTAGAGAAATCAAAATGTATTTTAAGCACAAAACAGAATGTTTCCCTCCTCCTGTTTGGGGGAAGAAAATGTCTCTGCATTCTTTTGTTCTTTTAAAAAACTAAAGAAGTTTATGAGGTGTCAGTAAATAAAGCCTAATATAAAACACACTGATAAATGGAATAAATAACGCCAGGGAAAATCTGACAGTTCACACCATGTGCTTTTTCCTTCTTCAACACATTTTGTTTCTTACTGCAAGCCAAAGATTTGAACATAAAATTGAATTGAAAGGATAGCTGGCTTCTGACTGAAATTCTTTCCTTCCTGGATTTATGCCTGTCTCTGGTTGTGACCAGTAGTGATATTGAACCACACACTGGCCCTGACCACCATATTTTCTAGATGCCCCTCTAAGATTGGATCTGATTAGGGATTCCTCATGTCCCACCTATCCTTGAGTCTCATGTGCTTAAATTAATATAGCTGGCCCACTCACAATGGCCCCTCTTCCAAACTGGTCTGGAACCCTTAACCCCCACAAAATGATTCCATTTGCCACATCTCTATATGTTGCACTTGGGGGCTGTAATCCCTCGATTCTATTCAGACACCTCAACATATTTCTCTCAGGGGATCCGAGGCCATTAGAGGGGAGTGTGAGAATAATCATATAAGATTGTTTAGTTAGGGCAAGTATAACATGAGGCTATTTTCCTATGTTATCCATTCGACAAGTCCATGATTGGTACCCATTAAATGCCAGTTCATTTTGGATCCTAATTGTTGATTCTGATTGGACTCTCCCTAGTGAATATGAGGTAGTTTTTACCACAGTTATCTGCCTTCACTGATGAATGGTGCCATTTTTTATTTATAGCTGTTTTGACCCACATGTCCAGCATTTGTCCACATCTCCTCAGAGAAGGGATGCCCCTCTGTCAAAGCTGATTACACAGAACAAGGGTTATCAACCAACAACTTCCGAGAGGGAAAGGGAGATCTCCTTTGTACAAAGGGTTAGGAGCCCTGACACAGAACCTGGAATGTGGCTGTCCTCTGAGCAGCAAACCCTTCCCCAACCCATTCACCCTAGAACGTAAGCTGCAGCCCAATTCACTGCAGTCTGGCCACTCTTGTCTAGAGCTGTGCTGTCCAGGATTGTAGCCCCTAGCCACATGTGGCTACTGAGCATTTAAAACATGGCTACTTTAATAGAGATGTACTATAAGTGTAAAAACATCCCAGGTTTCTCAGACTTAGTTAGGGGGAAAATATATAATAAAACATTACTAATTTTAAAAATATTGATTTCATGTTGAAATGAGAATATTTTTGTATATTGGGTTAAATATATTAAAAATGATTTCACCTGCTTCTTTTTACTTTTATAAATGTGGCTGCCAGAAAATTGTAAATGATACCTCTGACTCACATTTCCATTGGACAGTGAGATCAGGGTTTCCATTGTGTCCAGATCGGGGCCAGTCCTCACACCCAGCTAGCTATCTCAGTGCGGAGTCCTGGCCGGGACACCTTCCTATTCTCCTCAGCCACAGAGGAGCCCACAGATCCTAGCTTCAAGGGACTGTGCCAAGCTGTGTTTCATGCTAAGTAACAATAAAACTATTGGGTTGTCGAAAAAGTCATGACGTATTTTTTCTATGTTTTCGTTGCAAAAATGCGTCATGACTTTTCCAACAACCCAATAGATCCAATGATTGCTAGCAGCTATTGGAAGAAAAGGGAGGGTCAATGTTACCACGCTCTGGCTTGTTAGCTCACATTTGTGTGTAGTCGAGATTTGAGTACAAGGAAACCAGCCCTCTTGGTCCACCCATCGCAAATGTTGGGAACTCCCTTGGTGGTGTGTAATACTGCCACACTGTGGCCATCTGCACGGCCACCAAATCATGGATGCACAGTCAGGGTAAATCCTCTATTGCTGTCCTATAGACCTCTTCCTGGGCGTGGAATGGCATGGGAAATCACTCCAACAGTCTAGGAAAGAGTGTGGATCATCAGCCATGTGATTTCAAAGAGTTTTATTACAGTGAGGAATTAACATAATAAATAGGGGTCTCTCAAAATCACTGATTTTCTTCTTCCTGGGGTTTTATTTAGGTCTGGATCATGTCAGCATCAGATTGGACCTCGAGACATTGTTTCAGTTCAGCCACCTTATTCTGACCTTTAAGGTACAGATGCGTAGGCTTGCTGTCTCTTTTATCTACTTACCAAATGCTGGGCTTACCTGGAATTTCGTTTCTTTGTTTCCTTGCTTCCTTGTAGAGAACATAATGTTGTGTGAATCAGGACTCAAGCAATGGCATCTGGGTTTTTGTTCTTAAATGAAAAAAGATACCACTGCTCATTAAAAAAAATACCACTGCTTATATGATATGGTTAACAACAACAACAGAATCTTAGAAGATGTAGCAAAAAGGGAAACGCCAGGCACTGGGGGACAGAGACCACAGAACGAGGAAGATAATTTTCAGGAGGAAAGAGCAGAATCTGGAAATTATTTGGGGAAATATGGAAAGATTGTGATCAAAAGAGGAAGAAAGAGGATTGAGATCAAAAGAGGTCTTTACTAGGGTTAGTTAGATGCCAGACCTGTGCTATAGTCATTCTCTAATCATTCATCAAAATTCTAATTTTGATGTCAAGCCTGGTGCTAAATTATGGTAATTAAAAATGAATATAAAATAAAAAGTTATAAAAAATAAAAAACAAACAAACAAAAAAACACCAGGCATTGCCCTCAAAGAGCTCACAGTGTAGTCATGAATACAAGTACATATATAAATTTAAAATTATAGTACAGGGTGATACATGCAGATATAGACATATGACTAGAATGCTGGGGGTTCATTGACGAGGCTAAATCTGCTCTGGGGAATCCGAGTAAACTTAATTGTCGATTTTGAAGGATGTGTAAGTTTGCCAAAGGAAAAGCATTGTAGGCCAAGAAAACCACATGAAAATTGCTGTATAAATATCAACTACAGTAGCTTTTTAAAAATTTATATGCCATATTTCTCAAATTAATAATTCATGCAGCCATAAACATTTTAAAAATGGAATTTGATTCCAGGGCACAGTATGTGCTCATAAATACTTGCTCATTTGTTGGAAAGAGATTTCAATGTGTTCACTGTATGAGAGATTTTAAAAGATACAAATCAAGATTGAAAAAAAGAATTAAAAATATAAATGTTCAATCTGAAGTGGGTAATAAAATCTACCTTTGTGAAACATTACAAGTTTAACTCATTTTTTTCATAGACTTTTCGGCCTGCCGCCATGTTAGTTGAACGTTCCACAGACTATGGACTCACCTGGAAAGTGCTCAAATATTTTGCAAAAGACTGTGCTACTTTCTTTCCCAACATCACATCTGGCCAGGGCCAGGAAGTAGGAGACCTTGTTTGTGACTCCAAATATTCGGATATTGAACCCTCAACTGGTGGTGAGGTAGCATTTCCTTTCTTGGATTTGTTTGATATTAGTTAAACCCTTTTTGTTCATATGGTTAATTTAGATGAAAACAACTTAGGTAGTGTTTGCTGAAATATAACTTGAGCTGTTAGGTTTTTGTTTGTTTGTTTGTTTTTTAATTGGGGAAATGGGGGAGGAGAACAGTGTTGGGGAGTTGGGGAGGGGGACCAGCCAAGTTGTTGTTCTTCAGTCTTCATTGTGTAGGGCGCCAGCTACAATCTGGCTGCCCGTCGGCAGCTCGTGGCCTCTAAGCTCAAGGTGCTGTGTTACAATCTTAGTTGCGGGTGGGCATAGCCGCCATCCCATGTGGGAGTCAAACCAGCAGCCTTGTTGTTAAGAGCGCACACTCTATCCACTGAGCCATCCAGGTGGCAGCTCAGCTTAAGGTGCCAAGTTCAGTCTTAGTTGTGGACGGGCATAGCCCACCATCGAACAGGCAGTCTTGTTACGAGCACGTGCTTTCACCAGCTAAGCCATCCTGCCACCTGTTGGCAGCTCAGTGGCAGCTCAGTTCGGGTGCAGCTCATGGCCTATGTGGGAATCGAACCAGCGGCCCTGTTGCTCAGAGCTCACGCTCTTAAGCTAATTCTTAACCAACTGAGCCACTTGGCCGGCCCAAGCTGTTGATTTTTTAAGAATGAAAGTGTCTAAATTGAAATGAGTCCTGAGTTGAACTCAAATTCAGATAAATAATAAATACCTTCTAAGAAATAATCCTGCACAGACTGCCCAGCTGAAGGTAAGCAGGGGCTAAAATTCAAGCTGGGCAGTGGGGCACAGGGAACCCAGAGGAAGGAGCATGAGTGTCTAACCCTTACAAGGGAGCATATCAGCTAGGAGCAGCCCAGGATTAGTTGTCTCCTCTCCATGCTCTATAACCTACCACTCAGGTGGAATCTGCCAGAACATTCCCCTGAGCAAAGCTGATAAGTGGCAGAGGGTCAGGGGAGGAGTGGGGTTGGGAAGTATTATCTTATCTAGTATAGTAGAAAGAACTGGTGACATAATGCAGCTCCAGAATCCCCTGCGAGATCCTAATTGACGAGGACTTGCTGAATTGTGACCCCATCACTTCACCTCAGATCAGAGCAGGAGCCCTTTTCACCAGCAGTGTCATGACTTCTGCCTACATGGACCACTTGTGCATAAAGAGCCAGAATGACTATTTAATAACTTATTCATTTTCCTTCTCGGTACTGGTATTCATATGAGAACCCAAATGATAACGTGTATCCTACGCCAGCAGGGAGGTACCAGCTCAGCCTTCTTTTAAGATCAGGATCTCCTCTTTAAGAGTACATTTAACAATGATGTTTTGGGGTAAAATACTATAAATTTACCTACATTTGTTTTATAGGTTGTTTTAAAAGTTTTGGACCCCAGCTTTGAAATAGAAGACCCCTACAGCCCCTACATCCAGGGTATGGATTGCTCTATATTTTTCACACCAATTTCTTTTCTAAAATCTCACGTTAAGACTATTCCTTGTCATTGCATGTCTATTGTACATTAAGGGATGTCAGTCAAGAAGGACACCTTGATGTACTTTGATTTGTTCTTTTCATTATTTTCCTTTCTCTAGACCTTGTGACATTAACAAACCTGAGGATAAACTTTACCAAACTCCACACCCTTGGGGATACTTTGCTTGGAAGGAGGCCAAATGATTCCCGTGATAAATACTATTATGCTATCCATGAGATGGTGGTCCGGGGCAGCTGTTTTTGCCATGGCCACGCTAGCGAGTGTGGCCCAATGCAGAAGGTGCGGGGAGACGTGTTCAGGCCTCCTGGAATGGTGAGTCACTCATCTGAAAGAGCAGTTGGCTCTCCTACGTTTCCTTCACTGCCCTGGTGCTAGGTGTAGATCAGATTCTCTGTGTGGGGATCAACAGTCGAAGTGCAGCCTTGTGATGGGGCAGGTATGATTCCACCTGGCCTGACAGGCCACATGGGGAGCCCTCAGTTCTCTCGCCAGAGATTCTTGTGGATTCTGCCACATGTGGGCGTCACTGAACTCGTGAGCAGAATTTATAACTTATGATTTCAAGATAGCCCATCTTGCTCTCTTTTTGTTACTTGTTTAGTAGGGAATGGAGATTTAGTGGAGAGCACCCTTAATGTCACATGCATTCTCTCACAAATATGTACTGAAGGTCTGTCATATTCAGTGCCAAGGTGTTTGAGTAATATCTGATATTATAAAACTGGTCACTCCAAGTAACGTTCTTACACTATGAAGGACTGTTTTCATAGTGGAAATCTCTTCCATTCTTAGGATGAGCCTTAGAAGAGTGATGCAGTGGAAGAACTGTATGCTTATGCAGTCCTGGAGCTGTGTCTACTAAATAATTTTAAACTATTAGTCATAAGCAGACAAGGCTCAATGTCGAGGTTATTGCACCTTCTAACTCAGCTATCTCCATGTTTCACTGGAAACAGAGCTCCTCCCTTTGAAGTTGGACATTTATGGCATTTTGTGGAGAATGACATACCTTTCTCCAGTTTCTTTCTGTTTTCTAATTCCCTCTTTTCCCTTATGCTCCTAAATCACCACCTACCACTTTCTATGGACACACACATATTCTATCCTGTCCCTCATTGAGGGTTGCAATGTGCTTCCCTGAAACTAGTATTCAGAAATGCCAAAAAAGTATTGTAAATGCTTACTGAACATCTTAAATATAAAAACTGTAAAAGCTAGTTAAGCAAACAATAAAAAATAGTCCAGGTTGGTATTGTAACTAACATACATGGTCGGACAATTAAGTTTGCGAACTCATCCTAGAAAAAGTGCTACATACCTCATTGCTGAATATAACTAAAGTCACCTTCAAAGTATTCCCCTTGGGAAGCTATGCACCGATGCCAGTGCCTAGTCCACCCTTCAAAGCAATTTTGGAACTCTTTTTCTGGAATGGTCATCAGAGCTATCGTCGTATTACCCTTGATGTCCTGAATGTCATCAAAATGTTTTCCTTTCAATATTTCCTTTATCTTTGGGTAAAGAAAGAAGTCATTGTGGGTCAGATCAGGTGAGTATGGAGGGCGTTCCAATACAGTTATTTGTTTACTGGCTAAAAACTCCCTCACAGACAGTGCCGTGTGAGCTGGTACATTGTCATGCAAGAGCCATGAATTGTTGGCAAAAAGTTCAGGTCATCTAACTTTTTCACGCAGCCTTGTCAGCACTTCCAAACTTGGTTAACTGTGTGTCCAGTTGGTACAAATTCATAATGAATAATCCCTCTGATATCAAAAAAGGTTAGCGGCATCGTTGCGACAAGTTCACAAACTTAATTGTCACACCTCGTATGGGAAGCTAAGACCCAGAAAGGGTCCCAGGGCCTGGTATTTCATTTTCCATCCTCAAAGATGAGCCCTTTTTTAATGCTGCTAACTTATCATGCAATCAGGTTCATGGTCAGTGCGTCTGTCAACACAATACAGATGGCCCCAACTGTCAGCGGTGCAAGGACTTCTTCCAGGACGCTCCTTGGAGGCCAGCTGCAGGCCTGCAGGACAGCACTTGCAGAGGTGTGTGGAGATGAGTTGTCAGCGTAACCCAAGTGTGCTCCATTTCCTTAATTTGGAGAACATTTAGTTAGTTTGGACTACAAGCAACAAAGGTGGTGGTGACCCTGTGGCTTCCAGCTCCAATTGTGTGATATTCCAGTGTCTCCCATTATCTCCCATGGAAGAAGCACTAACATCTCAAACCCTCACACCCCAAATTAACATTAATTTGAAAAATGAAACAATATACATGTTGGGTGGCCCCTTTCCAGAAGAGGGACAGAGCTATGTAATAGTAACATCAGTGAGGATGGTGCCACTCCAGGAATTGGGGGAGTACTAGATTTGGTACAGAGATCCCTACTATTTTCCTGAATAACCATACATTCCTTAATGGGACCTTAAACCCAAATGTCAGATAACAGGAGAAATGAGGCCTAGGTTCGAGTTTGACAGGCTATCGTGCCTTTTATAAACTATTAGGCTAATAAGGTGGGGGGTTTTTGTAATGCATTTGCTGCCTCTGAATTTTGATGAACTTCCAAACAAACTTGTTATTCAGTTTCTTTTCCCAGATTTGGGGAAAATAAGATTTGAGGGGATGAGAGGTCCCTAGAAGAGCTCTTATGGAAAAGTTCCATGCGTGCGTCACAGTCTACAAGACCCAGCAAATGTTTATGCTGTTTACAGAGGGGGAGCCAATAAGATAAACAGCACGGACCTTACTACAAACAGTCCCCTGCACAGAGACGGCCTTTCCGTGTGTTGCTCTGGCTGAGCCCCAGGTGGCATGAGGATGACCTGCAGACACCCTTCCAGCTCTCCTGTTCACAGAAGAGGAGGCGGGTGGGGTGCAGTTTTAACATCTTATCTGAGGACCCCAGTGTGCACAGAACATATGGTTTAAAAAAAATAATAAAATTTACAAAGTATAAGTCAGTATAACTATTCTCTACTGAACAACAAAAATAGTGTGCTCTAGGGCTTCCAGCTCACCCAAATGGTTTATTTTGGTTTACTTGATTTTAAGAAATGCCTGAATATTAAACGTTTGGGGAACACCCTTTGTAGAAAGTGTATGAGCAGAATCAGCTCATAGTAGAAAGTGTCCTTTGAAAGCACCTATTTTAACTGTTTGTGTATATGGTGTGTCTATAAAAAGAAGGCGGAGTGGCTGAAGAAAGAGGACAGTTTGCGGAAATTAGTGCGTGGCCGTGGGCTCCGGTGTTCCCGGGACCTCGGTGAATCTCTCAGTAACGCCTCTCCTTTCCCCAGCTTGTAGCTGTAACAGCCACTCTGATCGCTGTCACTTCGACATGACCGTGTACCTGGCGAGCGGCGGCGTCAGTGGGGGCGTGTGCGAGGACTGCGAGCACCACACGGAGGGGCAGCACTGTGACCGCTGCAGACCCCTTTTCTACAGAGACGCGCTCAAGGCCATCTCGGATCCTTACGCATGCCTTCGTGAGTCCCGGCCTCTGGCCGCATCTTTTCCACTCATTTGAGCAAATACTGATGGAGCCCGTCTCACTTGGGCCCCAGACCCCACGGCTCTTAGCAGCATCTCCAAACTACCCTATTTGGAGGAGTGGGGGTAGCAAAACCATTTCAGCAGTAAGAGTTTCTTTCTCTGAACAAATTGGGCCAGATAATCGAGGTCCGTCCTGGTAGTCTTGCCGCAGTGGCTCATACTGGGGAACCAGGAAAGTATTCTGGATTCAACCAGGAGGGAGCCGATGGTTTCAGAAGATGTAGCGGACACCGGGAGTATCCAGGCGGTCAGCTGCCCAGAGTAGCTAACTACTGAAAATGGCTGCTGCATTCGACTGGCTGCAGAAGATGCAGAAGATGTGTGAGCTAACTGGTGCCTTGTTTCTTCTTTCTTTTTTTAACCTTAAGTTTTTTTTCATTTTATCTTTAATCTCAACTTTTTAAAATGGAATATTTCAAGCATATATAAAATAATAGAGGATAATATAATAAACACCCTTATAGCCACCACCGGCATTGTCAAAACGTAGTGTCTTACCCTTTCATCTTCAGGGCTTTAATAAAACACTACAGGTACTAGTGATGTCCCAGGTGCACATCTATCCCATTTGTATACTCTCCTTTCTAGGGATAAACTCTTGTATATTTGGCAGTTATTACCACCAAGCTTGTTTTTATACTTTCACACATTTTTATCTACAAATAATATATGTTGGCATATTTTCAAACTTTAGATAAATGATATTATGCTGTATGTATCCTTGAGTATCTCATGCGACAATATATTTTTGAGATTTGCCCATATCCAGTAGTCCTAGTTCTCTAATTTTAATTTCTATGTGGAATTCCTTCGTATAAATATGACAAAAATCTATTTGTCCATTTTTCTTTTGATGCTGCAGTAGCCATATACCGGGGGTGCCAAAAACAAAAAAACGTATACACATTTTAAGAGATGTTATCTATGCTCAAGCAGTAGTTCGCGGTACTCAGAAGTGTCTGGACACTGATGGTAACCACTCTTGTAATTGCAGAAATCAAACGTGACTTGTATTCATCTTTTGTTATTAGTATATATTGAGTATTACAACTAATGCAGTTTTTCCTTTCTTAAAATTTGTATAAATGTTTTTGGCACCCTCTGTATGTGGCCTTGTGCATATATACAAAGACTGTCTCTAAGAGTCATACCTAGTAATGGGATTACTGGGCCAGAGCATGAACTTCTTCAAACTGATGAGATAATACAGCGCTGTCCCATAAGTGGGTGTACCAGTTAACACCCTTGCCAACAGTGTATGAGAGTTCCTGTTGCTCTATATTCTAGCCAACACTTGGTTTTATCATGCTTTAATTTTTGCTAATTAAAATAAACATTTATATATTTAATTTGATTTCCCTGTAGGAATGAGACTAAAGTGAGGCAAGCAAAGCACCTAGGTCTCAAAATTTAAGGAAGCACTCACTCTCGGAATCATGTAAGTGCAGGGTTGACATTTACCACTGGCATTAACCTGACAGTGAGTGCCTCCTTAAATTTTGTGCTCTAGGCACCTTGCTTGCCTCACTCTAGTCCCAGCACTGCTGTTGGTTATTATATAGACAAATACTCCAACCTGATTTCAAATACTCAGTGCCAGTTACTAGGTCTGACATCTTACTTTACTTGCAGACTAACAAGTTAGCATGTTATTGTTTCATGGATGCTGGTGGAGAATATAAAACTCCTGGGTCAAAGACAAAGGGCTTTGTTACTTATGGCACAGCAAGCAACAAGATGTTGCTATTGGTGTGAGTTCCCATGTTCCCACACCCCAAGTCCCATGGGGAAACTCAAAGGATACCAGGTGGACCCTGTACATGAGTTTATGTCACAGACAAGGAACACAGAGCAGAGGATTCATTGCTTTTATAACAAATGGAAGCAGCTTGTTCTTTGGGGAAAGATGTTACCTCATCCTTCAAGGTAGCTTGCTATAAACACAACCTTGAGAAATGGCCTTAGTATAGAGCAGTCAGGGCCTTGCAATGTTGACATACCCAGCAAAAAAGTTTAGATGCCCAGGACCCAAGGAAGATTACCTTTCCCAGTACCCAGAAATCCTGCATCTTAGGCTATATCATCAATATAATATTATATTGTATTGGGAGGTGGAGGGCTTGCTATGAAACTACAACTTCAAACTTCATATAATCATAATACATAAAATGAAGTCTTAGACAAAAGTAATTCAGCAGCCACATGAATACATAGAATGTCCTAGATTTCAAACTTTGAATCATCACAATGTACAAAAAACATAAATGAATTCTTTTTTTGCTCAGATTATACAGTAAGTATATGATTGCATAAAATTTTACTTTATATAGACGGTTTAAAATTGATACAAAGAACCAGATTTTCAGAATATATATGTCTTTATTTATTTTTTTATATTTTTCAATTATAGTTGACATTCACTTTTATTTTATATTAGTTTCAGATGTACAGCATAGTGGTTAGACATTTATATAACTTATGAAGTGATCCCCTTGATAAGTCTAGTACCTGCCTGGCACTATACATGTTTATTACAAATTATTGACTATATTGACTATACTGTACTTCACATCCACGTGACTATTTTATAACTACAAATTTGAACTTCTTAATCCTGTCGCCTTTTTCACCCAGCTCCTCAACCCCCATTCCATCTAGTATCCATCAGTTTGTTCTCTGTATCTCTGAGTACATTTCTGGTTTTTGTTTGTTTATTTTGTTCTCTAGATTTCACATATAAGTGAGATCATATGGAATTTTTCTCTGTCTGACTTATTTCACTTAGCATAATACCCTTTAGATCCATCCATGTTGTTGCAAATGGTAAGATTTCATTTTTTATGGCTGAGTAATATTCCATTGTGTATACAGGTATGTACCACAACTTCTTTATCCAATTGTCTATGGATGGGCATTTTGGTTGCTTTCATATCTTGGCTATTATGAATAGCACTACAGTGAACATAGGGGTGCATATATCTTTTCTTTTTTTTTTTTTTTTTTTTTTTTTAAATTTAATTAATTTATTTATTGTTAGTTTCAGGTGTACAGAACAATGCAATAGTTACCCTTTTCACCCT